GAGGGCAGGTAGAATATAACTAGGGGTAGGTATACAGCTAGTTACACCAGGGAGGGCAGGTAGAGTATAACTAGGGGTAGGTATACAGCTAGTTACCCCAGGGAGGGCAGGTAGAGTATAACTAGGGGTAGGTATACAGCTAGTTACCCCAGGGAGGGCAGGTAGAGTATAACTAGGGGTAGGTATACAGCTAGTTACCCAAGGGAGGGCAGGTAGAGTATAACTAGGGGTAGGTATACAGCTAGTTACCCCAGGGAGGGCAGGTATATACTAGGGGTAGGTATACAGCTAGTTACCCAAGGGAGGGCAGGTAGAGTATTACTAGGGGTAGGGATACAGCCAGTTACCCCAGGGATGGCAGGTAGAGTATAGCTAGGGGAAGGTATACAGCTAGTTACCCCAGGGAGGGCAGGTAGAGTATTACTAGGGGTAGGTATACAGCTAGTTACACCAGGGAGGGCAGGTAGAGTATTACTAGGGGTAGGTATACAGCTAGTTACCCCAGGGAGGGCAGGTAGAGTATAACTAGGGGTAGGTATACAGCTAGTTACCCCAGGGAGGGCAGGTAGAGTATAACTAGGGGTAGGTATACAGCTAGTTACCCCAGGGAGGGCAGGTAGAGTATAACTAGGGGTAGGTATACAGCTAGTTACCCCAGGGAGGGCAGGTAGAGTATTACTAGGGGTAGGTATACAGCTAGTTACCCCAGGGAGGGCAGGTAGAGTATTACTAGGGGTAGGGATACAGCCAGTTACCCCAGGGATGGCAGGTAGAGTATAGCTAGGGGAAGGTATACAATTACCCCAGGATGGGCAGTAGTGTATTACTGGGCACAGGAAATGGGTGTCAGTCATGTGGACTGTCATAGATTCAGGGACACGGATTAATGGGTTCATTATCTTCCAGGTTAGTTCTATGTCCTGTAATAACATTTATGTTTTAAAGTTAATTCAACAAAAATGAAATAAAATCAGACAGAGCCTGGCACGGACAGACTGATGGAAACACGGCTGCTTCGACTGCTGACTCACGCTCCTGACACACATAGAGGTGTGAGATACGCACATTACTCAATCCAACCTGTGAACTGATATCCGTGGAGCTTTTATACTAATTAAAGTCAAACTTTCTCACATGATAAACACTGTACCGCCACCCTCGCTCCATGCCTCCATTGCCACCCTTCCCAGCGGCCATTTCCCCCATTCCAGCCCTTTCTGCTACAGAAGTCCCAACATGTAAATAACTTTCCCAGTCTTCATTCCTTATTATCCAATATCTCCCTCTTTCCTGGTGACATCCAATACTTATATTTATTCCTTTTTCATTCTTTCTGTCTTATAGTACATCCCACCATTCAATGCCTACAGCCACCCAAAGATTCCCTTTATGATGTCTTGCTCCAACCCTCCTTGTTCTATTCCCTCTCTCCTCATCACCCCATCCAATCCAACCTGCTAAAACTGTTCCATCATCCATCCTGCCCCAACTGTCCCATTTAACCTGCCCCATCTGTCCCATCATCCATCCATTCAACCTGCCCCAACTGTCCCATCATCCTTCCCATTCATCCTACCCCAACTGTCCCATCATCCGTCCCATTCATCCTACCCTAACTGTCACATCATCTGATCCATCCTGCTTCAACTATCCCATCCATCCTGCCCCAACTGTCCCATCATCCGTCCCATCCATCCATCTAAAAGGTCTCATTACCCCGTCCCATTCATCCTACCCCAACTGTCACATCATCTGATCCATCCTGCTCCAACTATCCCATCCATCCTGCCTCAACTGTCCTATTATTCCATCGCATCCATCCTGCCCCAACTGTCCCATCCAACCTGCCCCAACTGTCCCATCATCAGTCCCATCCATCCATCTAAAAGGTCACATTACCCCGTCCCATTCATCCTACCCCAACTGTCACATCATCTGATCCATCCTGCTCCAACTATCCCATCCATCCTGCCCCAACTGTCCTATTATTCCATCGCATCCATCCTGCCCCAAGTGTCCCATCCAACCTGCCCCAACTGTCCCATCATCCGTCCCATCCATTCATCTAAAAGGTCACATTACCCCGTCCCATTCATCCTACCCCAACTGTCACATCATCTGATCCATCCTGCTCCAACTATCCCATCCATCCTGCCCCAACTGTCCCATTATCCCATCGCATCCATCCTGCCCCAACTGTCCAATTATCCCATCCAACCTGCTCTGACTGTCCCATCATCCAGTCCCACCCAATCTGTTCCGACTGTCCCTTCATCCATCCTGCTAAAACTGTTACATCATCTCGTCCCATCCACCCTGCCCCAAACTGTCCCATCATCCTGCCCCAACAGTCCCATCATACGGTCCAGTCCAACCTGCTCTGACTGTCCCATCATCCTGTCCCAACTCTTCCACCATCTTGTCCCATTCATCCTTCCCCAACTGTCCCAATCATCCCATCCAGTTCATTCTGCCCCAACTGTCACTTTCAATCCATTATTCCTATTCATCTTGCCTCAACTGTCCCATCGTCAAGTCCCATCCATCCTGCCCCAAGTGTCCCATCCAACCAGCTCAAACTGTCCAATCATCCGTTCCATTCATCCTGCTAAGTGGCACATCATCCTGTCCAATCAATCCTGACCCAACTGTCCCATCATCCCTTCCATCCATCCAGCTCCAACTGTCCCATCAATAGTCTCGTCCCATTCCATTTTACTCATTCCATGTGCTGCCATATAATGACACCATTCAAATCCAGACTCTGCCAGTCCATGCCATGCCCACATCATGCCAATCCAATGTTCTTTCAGTCTCCATTCTGTTTCTTCCTGTGCTTTACTTCTGGTACCATAACTTCTCTCCCACACATAGCCTTGGCCATCCGGTAAAATATCTGTCTAATAGTATGCCACCCCACCTTCCAATGTCTGCCATCCACGCACTAGCAACAGTAAAACCCTGAACACCCCAATAAATACCTCTCTCTTCTCCATGCCACAAGGATATCAGGGAGGAAAACATTCTCGCACTCTGCATACCCAGCTCGAAGATGCCCCACCTTCCCAACAGAGCTACGGAACATATACATTATAGGTGCCGCCCCCAGGATGGCATCTGCCCAACATGCTGTCTGACAGTGCAACAAGGGCATTTACTGCCCATCACAACAGCTCACAAATCTCAACCAATGTAATGACACGAAACATCATCTCCTGAATAACTTCAACTACATCTAAATAACAAGGAAACCAGCAAACTGTATGCTGCGTTCCCTTCACCTGTAACCCTTCCAATGCCAAGTGGCCAATGCTACATCCAATCATAACCTGAACAAATGACAAGCCACCATTAACCCTTCCAATGCCAGCTGCTCAATCCCAATCAGAAGTGGTTCCTCCAGGAGATGTTCTGGTGAAAGGTGAGGAGGTAGGTATCGGAGGTGGCACATATCTGACAGGACAGACAACCTTGCCATACCCAGGTAGCACAGTCCTTGCTGGCATGTAAACACATTTTGTCTTGGCATGCACAAGGTGACTCCCAGAAAGGGTCAATGGGCTAGCAGAACACAGACTGTTACCTGCCCATAGCTCTATCTTGTGCCCCAGAAGCTTCATCATTTCCACAGACAAGGCAGCTAATGACAGCACAGTGCAGAGCTACGTCTGAGGAGCTGTCCAGCACTGATGGAGAGTGGGTGCAATGCAACACAAAGAGACACAACGCCCGCACACTAAAGATGGGATCAAACTGTACAGAAGAGGCAGGCAAGGAGGCTCCGAGGAGCAGACAGCTGGGGCAAGAAGGCAGAAAAGACCCAGAGCCTAGTGAGGGATCTCTCCTGAAAAGCTCTGAGATGGAATGTGAAAAGGAGGGAGTGACAGGGAGAGGGTGGGGGCAACAGAAAGAGAATGCAAGGGAGATAGTGAGGGAGAAAACGAGGAAGAAAGAAACAGAGAGGATGGGAGAGAACGAGGAAGAGAGAAACAGAGAGGAAGGGAGAGAACGAGGAAGAGAGAAACAGAGAGGAAGGGAGAGAACAAGGAAGAAAGAAACAGAGAGGAAGGGAGAGAATGAGTAAGAAAGAAACAGAGAGGAAGGGAGAGAACGAGGAAGAGAGAAACAGAGAGGAAGGGAGAGAATGAGGAAGAAAGAAAGAGAGGAAGGGAGAGAACGAGGAAGAAAGAAACAGAAAGGAAGGGAGAGAACAAGGAAGAAAGAAACAGAGAGGAAGGGAGAGAACGAGGAAGAGAGAAACAGAGAGGAAGGGAGAGAACGAGGAAGAGAGAAACAGAGAGGAAGAAAGAAACAGAGAGGAAGGGAGAGAACGAGGAAGAGAAAAACAGAGAGGAAGGGAGAGAACGAGGAAGAAAGAAACAGAGAGGAAGGGAGAGAACGAGGAAGAGAGAAACAGAGAGGAAGGGAGAGAACGAGGAAGAAACAGAGAGGAAGGGAGAAAATGAGGAAGAAAGAAACAGAGAGGAAGAGAGAGAACGAGAAAGAGAGAAAAAGAGAGGAAGGGAGAGAACGAGGAAGAAAGAAACAGAGAGGAAGGACGAGAACGAGGAAGAAAGAAACAGAGAGGAAGGACGAGAACGAGGAAGAAAGAAACAGAGAGGAAGGGAGAGAACGAGGAAGAAAGAAACAGAGAGGAAGGGAGAGAACGAGGAAGAAAGAAACAGAGAGGAAGGGCGAGAACGAGGAAGAAAGAAACAGAGAGAAAGGGAAAGAACGAGGAAGAGAGAAACAGAGAGGAAGGGAGAGAATGAGGAAGAAAGAAACAGAGAGGAAGGGAGAGAACGAGGAAGAGAGAAACAGAGAGGGAGGGAGAGAACGAGGAAGAAAGAAAAAGAAAGGAAGGGAGAGAATGAGGAAGAAAGAAACAGAGAGGAAGGGAGAGAACGAGGAAGAGAGAAACAGAGAGGAAGGGAGAGAACGAGAGCGCAAGTGAGGCAGTGAGGGAGAGAGAAAGAGACAAAGGGAGTTAGAGTCAAGTCATGCAGTTAGACAGCTCATTGCAGACATGTTACAGACAGACAGACAGTCTGAACGAGGAAGAGAGAAACAGAGAGGAAGGGAGAGAACGAGGAAGAAAGAAACAGAGAGGAAGGGAGAAAATGAGGAAGAAAGAAACAGAGAGGAAGAGAGAGAACGAGAAAGAGAGAAAAAGAGAGGAAGGACGAGAACGAGGAAGAAAGAAACAGAGAGGAAGGACGAGAACGAGGAAGAAAGAAACAGAGAGGAAGGGCGAGAACGAGGAAGAAAGAAACAGAGAGGAAGGGCGAGAACGAGGAAGAAAGAAACAGAGAGAAAGGGAGAGAACGAGGAAGAGAGAAACAGAGAGGAAGGGAGAGAATGAGGAAGAAAGAAACAGAGAGGAAGGGAGAGAACGAGGAAGAGAGAAACAGAGAGGGAGGGAGAGAACGAGGAAGAAAGAAAAAGAAAGGAAGGGAGAGAATGAGGAAGAAAGAAACAGAGAGGAAGGGAGAGAACGAGAGCGCAAGTGAGGCAGTGAGGGAGAGAGAAAGAGACAAAGGGAGTTAGAGTCAAGTCATGCAGTTAGACAGCTCATTGCAGACATGTTACAGACAGACAGACAGCCTGGGTGACAGCTCAGTGCAGACATGTTACACACAGACAGTTAGACAGCCTGGGTGACAGCTCAGTGCAGACATGTTACACACAGACAGACAGTCTGGGTGACTGCACACAGTCTACTAAAAAGAAGAGTCAACAGCAAGCTGGAGGGAGGGGTTAGGATGCAGCCACTGGGGGGGCAGTAAACCCCCCATACCATATTATACAGGGTTACACCCCTTATTTGAAACACAGGATTACACCCTTAATTTGAAACACTGGGGGGCAATAAATCTCCCATACCATACTATACAGGATTACACCCCTTGTAGGAAACACTGGGAGGCAATAAATCTCCCATACCATACTATACAGGATTACACCCCTTGTAGGAAACACTGGGGGGCAATAACAACCCCCCCCCCACCATACCATACTATACAGGATTACACCCCCTTGTATGAAACACTGGGGGGCAATAACACACCCCCCCATACCATACTATACAGGATTACACCCCCTTGTAGGAAACACTGGGGGGGGGCAATAACACCCCCCCACCCATATCATACTATACAGGATTACACCCTTTGTATGAAACACTGGGGTACAACACCCCCCATACCACATACTACATAGCAGGATTACACCTCTTGTAGGAAACACTGGGGTACACACTCTCATATCATACTATACAGGATTACACCCCTTTGTATGAAACACACTGGGGGTACAAACCCCCATACCATATTATACAGGGTTACATTAAACACCTTGTATGAAATGACTAGTACAACCCCCATACCATATTATGTAGGATTACATTAAACCCCTTGAATGAAACACTTGACACTATTCCCCAATTAACGAACCCATTGCCACATCCAGTGCCAGGCCTCAGCCTTAATATCAAACACTACTAACCCTTTAATTCCCAGCCATGCCATCAACCTATCCTTTCAATGCCAAAAATGCCAGGCACCAATATCCCCTTCAACTATTTTTCTAACAGCCATACCAGTCTCTGACTCTGGTAGCCAGTCCAGTCTCTCCGGTAGCCATGCCACTCTCTGGTAGCCATGCCAGTCTTTCTGGTAGCCATGCCACTCTCTGGTAGCCATGCCAGTCTTTCTGGTAGCCATGCCACTCTCTAGTAGCCAGACCAGTCTCTCTGGTAGCCATGCCACTCTCTGGTAGCCATGCCAGTCTTTCTGGTAGCCAGTCCAGTCTCTCTGTCTCTGTCTGTAGCCTTGCCAGTCTCTAGTAGCCATGCCAGTCTCTCTGTCTGTAGCCATGCCAGTCTCTCTGTCTCTGTCTGTAGCCGTGCCATTCTCTGGTAGCCATGCCAGTCTCTCTGTCTCTGGCTGTAGCCATGGCAGTCTGTCTCTGGTAGCCATGGCAGTCTCTGTCTATAGCCATGCCACTCTCTGGTAGCCAGTCCAGTCTCTCTGTCTCTGTCTGTAGCCATGCCACTCTCTGGTAGCCATGCCAGTCTTTCTGGTAGCCATGCCACTCTCTGGTAGCCAGTCCAGTCACTCTGTCTCTGTCTGTAGCCTTGCCAGTCTCTAGTAGCCATGCCAGTCTCTCTGTCTGTAGCCTTGCCAGTCTCTGGTAGCCATGCCAGTCTCTCTGTCTGTAGCCGTGCCATTCTCTGGTAGCCATGCCAGTCTCTCTGTCTCTGTCTGTAGCCATGCCAGTCTCTGGTAGCCATGCCAGTCTCTCTGTCTCTGTCTGTAGCCATGTCAGACTCTCTATTAGCCATGCTTGTCTCTCTGTCTCTGGCTGT